GCGTCCACACTGCCGCTGAGTTCTGTCGACATAACGTCGACAGAACTCAGCAGTTTTGTCGACGACGGTAAACCTCATTCTACGAGGAATAACGCTGTTTGTCGACAGTTCTGTCGATAGAAGGCATTATTGCATCTACACTGTCCTTTGCATCTACACTGCCATGTCGACAAAGCGGCTTGGTTTGTCGACAGAACTGGATGCAGTCTAGACGCTCTTTGTTGACAGAAGCACTGTCGGACAAAACTTCTGTCGACAAAACCCTGTAGTCTAGACATACCCTTACAGACTAACACAGCTGCTCCCTGACAAAGGCAGTTCTCCCAGACAGTGTACAGTAGGCCCCATGGTCCCAGCTGGTGGCTCTACACCCTGGCTTGTTAAAGCCAGTTTACCAAGGACTTTCTACATGGCCCTGATTCTTAAGGAGAGTTTTTACAGAGCGGGTGATTACAATAGGTAGACCTCAAACTTCCTTTAAAAGATAAAGGAACCTTATCGCAAACAATGAAATCAACATGTTGGCTGCTGCAGGGAGAGGAGGCCCCAGCAGAAGAAAGTAATCATCAATACTCAGACATCATCTCTTGTTTAAAAAAACACTAATTGAAACCTTGTTTTGTTTTTCTTAGTGCAAATGTCCTCTTCCGTCTGCTTCTCCTCCAGCAGAGGGGTGGCTTTGAAACCTTGTGATTAATGATATTTGGGTTCTGTGGTTGGTTAGTTCCTGAATTCCCAAACCACACTAGTGGTGGTTGCTAAAGAGAGACATTCCAGGGATGTAGGAGAAGGGTCTGCTGTAGCAATATCAAAAGAACATCCTTAATATCTCCAGGGACTGTCGGAGTCTGAGGAGTCATGCAGATCTTAATCGGAGTCTGAGGGAGAGGTGAAACCGAGCAGTTTTGTGGGATTCTGCTTTTGCTGGTCAGCATTGTTAGTGCAAAACAAGGACAGAGTCAGAAGCAGGGCAATGCGCCACTATACTGAACTACTTTATACAGTGAGGTGTGGGTGGGGGAGTAGCCGTAAGTAGGACCCATCAAGTTCTCCTGTCCCTATAACTTATAACCTGTAGTGACTAGGGATGTAAAAATGAATAAAATATTAACCATGTAAACAAAAATTCTATTCTGAGTGGTTAAAATGGGCATCCGAGATATCAGAAGTCGATTCAAGTGAGGCCTCCTCCCTTGGATTAATTTGATTGGAAAGGGGTATAAAGGTTGGCCATTCTAGATGAATAGCTTTGCTGCAGATAACCCATTTCCATGGTGATCAGCAGTTGACTGGTGTCTGTGACTCAGAGAGCTGGGATTAGCTGCAGAGAAGTGATAGGATCCTACCCTGTGTAGTGGTGTTCCTGTGAGAGCGGCCAGATGTGGCTCTGTGCACCTGTGTGAAATGCTTGGAACAAATATTTACACTGTGACGTGCCTGGATTCCCAGTGCCTCAGTGTACACTCACCTAACCACAGAGTTCTAATTCTGAAAGGGAACGGGAGTGAAGACTGCTCTGAGCATCTGAAGGTCAGGGACTGTCACTCATGTCTGGAATACCCAGTGCAGTGGAACCCAGTGTGTGACGAGGCTCTCGAGTCAGTGGCAGTACAGTGTTGCTTTTCAGTGGGAGGCAGCATTAATTGTTGACACCAGGTCTTGTAAACGGAAGGGCTATCCAGAGGCTGCGAAGGAAGAGCGATCGTATTGGGTGTACTAGGCAACTCGGCATTACCCCTTGTATTTTACATACATTGAGAAATGCTGGCAAGACCCTCAGGAAGACAGACTCTCCCAGATCGTGAATGGCACCTTGGATACGACACAGCTTTCAGCATTCATAGACTGATATGATCTTTTCCTTAGTGTGATCATTGACCCTGAATGCCATCTGTCCATTAGCCGGTTACATCATCTGCCTTGGGGTGGAGAGGGGAATCTGAGACTGAGATTGGTATTCAGAACCTTAATGGCTCTCTAAACTGCAGCCCTCATACTGTTTTTAATATTGGTCGTATGCTTCCGATGGCCCATATCTTCTAAAATAAGGACTTGTTTAGTGACAAGGAGTCCTGTGGCACCTTATAGACGAACAGATTTATTGGCGCATAAGCTTTCATGGGTCTTTGCCCACGAAAGCTTATGCTCCAATACATCTGTTAGTCTATAAGGTGCCACAGGACTCCTCGTCGCTTTTGCAGATTCAGACTAACATGGCGACCCGCTGAGACTTGACTTTTTTTAGTGTTTGCTTTGATTCTTCCTCTGCCACTGGAGCATACAAGAGATGATGGCTTTGAAGTATTAGATTCATGGAAATCCTAGGATCCAAGAACTGCAGTTTGTCTACCAGGCAGGAACCAGAATGTACCAAGCAGATGTTATAAAGCTCGTCCTGACAGAGCTGAGGACCACTTAGTAACTCCCAGCCCTTCGTGCCCCTCTTAGCTCTGGGGCAGTGCCCAAGGGAAGCAAAAAGCCTGTGCGTCTTGCTGTTGCAATTCAGATTTTGCTGAATTTTGTTTTGTCTTGACCTGGTGTTTTAGTGAGAACCCTCTGCCAACCGTAGAGATCGCCATTCGCAACACAGGTGATGCTGACCAGTGGTGCCCTTTGCTTGAAACCCTAACAGACGCAGAGATGGAGAAGAAGATCAGAGACCAAGACAGAAACACCAGGTGCGGTCCCTTCGTACAGTTTTTATTCTGGTCCCTCTCCTCTCTAGGGTAGAATTTAAAAGCTTTGAAGTTTTATTTTTCTCTGCTGAGAGCCAACTGGCAAGATTTCAGATTGATACACCAGAAAGAGGGTTTATTTCCCCTTTGCTTCAGGATATTAAACTGTTATCACTTCACTCTGCTAGTGTCTTAACATTTTCTTTTTAACCCTCTCCTGGTTAAAGCTAGCTCCCGTTGGATGCAGGAATATCTGAGGCCCATAGGAGTGTTAAGATTAAATGTCCCATTTGACTAGCATCCTAACAACGCTTCTCTCATATATCTGGTGATGCGCAGTTTGAAGTGGGAGTAAAGTTGACTGCACTTCTCCCTGGTTGCTGGCACTGACAGGAATACAGTTGTGATAACAAGAGCAGCTTTTGCCCTTGTAGGGAGGGACTTAGAAAGCGGCAATGTTAAAGGTGTCAAACCTGCCTAGATAAGAAGTGAAATCTTCCTGGCTTCAGAGTTGTCTCCACAGGATACTGAAGGTCATAACATTGAGAGTATAGTGCAGGGGTGGGAAAAGCCCCTCCCCTTCCAGCCAATCAGGGCCAAGGAGCTGGGGAACGTGCAGTGCGGCCCGAGGCCACTTCAAAAATTTCAGAAGTGGTCCCTGGTCAAAAATTGTCCACCCTGTTCTAGTGGTTCTAGCCACAACCCCGGGTGACTCAGAACTGTGGAGACCCTGCCATTTGTAGCTGATAACTCTCCCCCAGTCATTTAATACTGAGTTTGATAAGACTGTGACCTTCTGTTATTCAGCTGTAAGCTTGTGTAATAAAGCTGAATTGTCAGTGGCTGATGGAGGTAGAAATACAGCTCATACATGAGAACACGTGGAAATGGGTAACCAGGTTTCTCCACAATGGCGGAACTGATATACGCTCCTACAGAGCTGTGCAGATGGGAATGAGGTTCAAGAAGTACAACCGGGCTAGGGTGTTAACTGGCAAGTAAGTTTAGCAGACTGTGCAGTAACTTTCCCTTTGGCATCTGTGGGAGCAGTGTGGTATGAATCCAGGCAGATCTTCTAAGCATTTTTCCCAACACTTAACTGTGCCTTTTTTCCCTTTGCTTCCTACAGGCGCATGAGACGTTTGGCCAACACTGCTCCAGCCTGGTAACCCTCTCTGCCGAGAGAGTGGTGCTCATCCTACAGACTCTGTCTCCACTCCGCTCCCCCAAGAGGTCCGAGGGTTGGCAGGGGTTTGTCTTGCATCTTTCTGGCCCAGAATGAGGGGGTTACATTCCACTTGCTAAGCAGTTCAGAGTATTGCTGACTCCCTTGCCCCTACTTTAAGACCATGTGCTGAGAAAGTTGCATTAGCACATTCTCCTTCCTAGGCCTGTGGCAGCTGTCAGAGCCCTCATGTACCTGTATGTGGACTGAGTAAAGATTCCTTTTTTTTATTATTATTATTGTATAGGTGCAAAGTGCGCTGTTAGAACTTTTTAAATAAAAGGAATGCGTAGTCGTTGGTTTGAATCAGTAGCGTACATGCAGGCCTCCCGTTGCTCGCGCTCATGCCAGTCAAGCATTTCAGGGGCTTAGTGCTAGGCCTTGGAGCTCCTCAGACTGTTTCCGGCCCTGCTCCCCAGGTTTGCAAGGGGGCTGGATGATCACACCTGGTGCGGAGGCCTGTCCTCTAGCTGCTCATTTTGAATAGATCTAATAGGCTTCAAAGGGAATCTTGCCCAGTATTGTCTTTTGCTGTGGGACTGGGCTTTGTGACTCAGTGATGTGGGAATAGCAAAGATCATGAGGCCTCCGTAGAATGTTAACATTTTCCGAATCGTGAAGGAGCTGCGTCTGTTTGGTGCCCTCAGGGTGATCAAAACCAGCCGTCTCTCTAATTATCTCGGTGCAACTGGAGCTCGGCTGATATGCTCGGTGAACATGGCTGCTGCCAGGCTTTGAAGCTCATCTTTGTCTAGTGTTACTGTGGGTTGGTTGAGAGCCAAGTTGGGGAGAATACACCAAGACTCCCCAGACTAGCAGGGAGTGAGACTGCAGACTCTGCATTTCAGTTCTGACTTAGTTGCTGAAACTGCATCTTTCCTTCAGCAAAAAGCCACTCCTGTAGTCACTGTGAATGATCACATGTAGTCAGTCCCTCCCTTGCTTCTAACAATCATGTGGTCACTGGGAGTAAAGCTGTATTCACCCATGACCCAGACACTTTGGTACCAAGATTTGATCAGGCTGGTGAGAAGAGACAGCTGCCCCTTCCCACTGGCAGTTTGATTTAGCTGCTTATAAACAAGATATAGAAGTATCAGCTTTTGGGGTTTTTTTATTTACCTGGCAACAAAGGCAAGCTGGTTGGCTGCTTTGCTAGAACTTGCACTCCTTCCCCAGGAAAACCGAGAGAAAACGTAGCAAGCAGGGAAGATTGTATAATCCGACACTGATGTCATGGCTCTTGTACTAAAGGAGGCTGTAAAACCTCTTCATCCTTGTCCACCCGCACTTCTAGCATTGTCAGAAATCTCCTTTTAGCCTGAGTATTGTCATGCTGCACCTTGCACCATGGCAGTTTGAAAGTGAACAGGTTTCTGATGGGGGGGGCACTAGGCTGTGAGAGGGAAGATATAAAATTCAGATGTCAGGGAGTTACCAAAAGCTATGGACTTCAGATTCAGCTGCTCTGTCACTGCTGTCTTAACCCCTCCACTAACCAGCTATGCTGCCCAAGTGCTATTTCCCTTTTACCAGTAGGTTATTCCAACAATTTCCTACTGTCAAAAGCTTGACTGCTATGCAACTAAGCTTAGAATTTAAATGAGTAAATTTCCTTGTGACCCCCTCCTCACCATGAATGGGGCTCGGTAGCACTCAATTTTTCATTGTGTGGGTGCTAAGGCTATGCTTGCTTCGTGGGGAGAAGTCTTCAGCCTCTGCTTACAGTAACACTTGATGCAAGCAGCAGAGAATAAAGTTTATGGCTGATCATTGAGCTTCCTTTCCCTTCAGGCTCCTACTGTTTGGCTTCTGCTAACAGTGATAGTTACTCACCCCACTCTGATTCCAAGGTCACTGGTGCTCTTCTAATATAAACTGTTTGTATTAGTTAAACGGGTGCAATTGTGCATGGAGCCTTAGTTAAATGGGTTTCAATTTTAGATATAGTTCACAGGCATTTACACAGGTTTAGTGCAATTGGCTTTTTACACAGTGTAACTTTGACTGTAGATACAGCCTAAAACGTATTGCTAGGCTGTACAGGGGCAAGCCTTGTTATTTAAATGTAGTGACTTAACAGGTGAGCCACTGAACAGAGCCTCAAAGATTGAGTTGTAAGCACTGTTAGAACCTGGGGGCACAGCCTGAAACAACCCTGTGACTTACACCAATAAGGCCCTTTGTGTCTTTACGGATCCTGCATCACCCTGAGTTTGTCCAGCATCAAGGGGACATATTTCCTCTCCATGCAGCATTCAGGCTCCCATCATCCTTGTGGTGGAGCTCTCTCTCTGGAGGTAAATTCACTCTGCCTTCCCTGTTAGAGCTGAATGCGAAATAGTTTCCCCTTAGGGACACTGCCCTTGCTAAGTCTCAGACTAGTGCCTACGTAATGACTGTTCTAGGTTGCCGCTTTCCCAGCCAGGTGCAGCCCTGTCACTGAAAAATAAGACTAGGGGGAAAGGAGAAGAGGGGCAGAGCTGAAGCAATGCGCCCTTGTGATGCTCTAGGACTGGGCTGGCTGGCATGTTGCAACAGCTGAACAACGTGAAACTTCATGCACTTCCCTGGCATTAAACAGACACACATACCACTTCTGCACATATGTAACTTTTCAGTCTATAAATATGATACTCCAGAGAACAGCTTGGCAAACAGGCTAGCGCAAGAGAACAATGAGATATTAATACAGACTAAAATCAAGCCCAGAGCAGTTCAAGGCAGCCTTGGTCCATGGCAACACTCCCTCTGCCTTGGGAACAGCATCAGTCCAGCAAGAAGAAGAGTTTGGCCAGGTGGGGGAGAGCAGGTTCTCCCCACTACTGAGGCGGCGGCTGTTGCTGATTCTGTCCTGGCTGGTCAGCTGGCCAGTTCTCTGGCTGATCCTCAGGAAGGGGGTTGTAGTTGGGATCCTCTTCGGGAGTGTCAAACACCAGCTTCCTGGCAGGGACCAGGCCCACCCACAAAAGAAGCAAATACCAAGAGTTAGGCCCAAGAGGGACAAAAAGCTACCCCCTCCCTCCTAGGACCAAACTCTCTCAGGGACAGCCACTGTCTGATACAACATCGGGAGGACTACCACAGCACCTAGTTCCCAGCTGAGTTAGGGAAACAGCAAATGCATTGCTAGCCACCCTCCCCAACAATCTGCTCCACGGTTACCAGTACCTTGTATGTAAGTTAAAGACTGGAGCCGCCCTCGTGCGGCAACAAGGGGGCCCAAGTCAAAGCATGTGAGAAGCAGCAGAGCATGTAGAGACACCGTTTAAGGCATGGGATGCTTTCCACAGCAGGCAATGCTGCATGTAGCGTTTGTAGCCTGGTCCTTAGCCTTCTCCAAGGCAAGACTAGCCCAAGGGAGGCAGGTGAGCTATTCCGTGATGGAGAACACCCTTGGAGGGGATGGTGCACTGCACCCAGGAAAGGAGACAAGAATTTCCACTTACAGGAAGCCTGGAGTGAGTAGCAACTTCTTCCCTCCAGGCTGGCTGGGAAAAACATCTTCAAGGAAGTAATAGATGTGACCCACTGCAATTCCTGTGGAGAAGAGGAAGGAAAAGGGTTACCTGCAGATCTCTCTTCACTGGAGCAGAGGGCAGCTATTCTCTCACTGAAGTTAAGGAACAGGGTGGGGGGGAAGCTACCCCAGCAGTTGTCCCACAAGACAACTGCATTGTCCCTGGCATGCTTAATTTGGGGGGACTACAAGGGAAGTTACCTTCAGCCCAAGGCCTTAGCTTTGAATGGCTTTGTGCTCCAAAGCAAAGCGTGGCTGGAGAAGACTCCTGGGATATGGGCAGTAAAACAAAGACCTGGGAACTGCTCTGGAAAAAGCAGGGAGGGTAGAACAACAGGGCATGAGTGTCTGCTTAGAGCTCACCCTCCCATCCCTATTACTGCTCAGCCCACTGGGCAGCTCTACTGGGGATTCATAGGGGGCATTGTGCCCCCTTGCCACGCTGGTGCTTGGTGCTTCACAGGCACGCCACCAAGGTGCTGTTCAAAGTGCACTGAATTCCTAACACTGAGGATGCACTTGTGTGTCCGGGGAGGGGCACAAGAGGCCAGGCCAGCTGTGCTCCTTGGAGAAAGGGTGTGGCATCAGCAAGGGGGCACGAAGGCCGGGCTTCTGCGTGATGTAATGCACTGGGGGGTCACAGCTGGAAAATGTGCGCTCATACAAGTGCCCAGAGGGCTACTTACCCAACAAATCAATGATTATGGAATTGCCCAGCAGTAGGGAGAAGCCCATCAGGACCCAGGGCAAGAAGGGGGCCTGGAAGTTCAGGAGCCCGAAGAAGTTCATGCGGATGTACGGGTTCCGGCGGCTCCACACATACACCAGCATGGGGGGTCACAGCTGGAAAATGTGCGCTCATACAAGTGCCCAGAGGGCTACTTACCCAACAAATCAATGATTATGGAATTGCCCAGCAGTAGGGAGAAGCCCATCAGGACCCAGGGCAAGAAGGGGGCCTGGAAGTTCAGGAGCCCGAAGAAGTTCATGCGGATGTACGGGTTCCGGCGGCTCCACACATACACCAGCATGATGGTGAAAGCCTGGCCCAGGAAAAAGAGGCTGGCGAAGAGGCAGAAGAGCTGAGAGCTACAGAGTTCAGGAGAACACCCCAAAGCAGCAGGACAAGAGATACAGGAGTTCTGACAGATTACTTAGACAGCTGCCCAGGACTTCAGTGTCCTGGGGTTGATTATACAAGTGACAGATCCCAAAGCCCGGCCCACTCTCCATGCAGTCTGGGACACACCTATCCTCTGCCAGTCCCACCTCCTCTCCTTCCCTAGTAACAAAATATGCACTGACTGTCATTTTCACCTCAGCTACTCTGTGCTGCCTCCTGTGAGGTGTGGCAAGTGATGGTCTGCACCCTCTCCTCTCTCCCC